ATATATCTATACATATATATATCTTCGTATTTTATATTTTTGATGATAAATATATTTAAAAAAAAAAATAAACTTTTATTTCATTAAATTATTATCTATTATTTAAACTGAAATTTTTTTACAGGTTATGTGTATCTAACGAATGTAAAAAGATCATTTTTTACATATTTTCGTACTTAACTATCATACTGCGGAAACATTTGACGAATTAAACATATTACAATCCTAAAATACATGATCTAATAAAACGGATTATCAAAGAAAATCTGAAAATAAAGTCAAAATTATACGAACCACGTGCAACACCGACGAAAGATAACAAGAAAAGATTAAAAAAGATCGAAAAAACTTTCCTAGTTTCAAACTCACTGACACCAACGAGATGAGATCAATATTAGAGTCTTATATTTATTAGAGAAGTGTGCCCGCCTACGTCGCAAAAGTACTAAAAAGTACTAGAAAAAGTACTAAATATAGTATCCGTTTGTAAAACGGATTATGAAATCTACCAATCATCCATTAGAGAAGCCATTTTTAATAGACAGAAATAAGTTCATCATTAGCTGCTAAACACGTGATTGCAATGATCAATCAGAATATTTAACACCAGTCACGCTTCTTTTATAAATATAAGACTCTAATCGATACTAAAATAGTGCAAGATTCTCTATTTGTGGACTTACTAATCATACCATATACCAATAATACTAATAGCGATTAGCGTATTCGATTTAGGGTGCAGTCGAGTTGACGCTATGAATACTTCGAAGAATTTTTTGATTGGTCAATTAGTAAAATTCTTTCTTCTGATTGGTTAATCAAATACTTCGAAGCATTCGTAATGTCAACTCGATCATACTCTTAGTGATTCGATCTGACTCGAGTCACTGATTTGTTCTGTTCAGCTACAAAAGAAGAGTTAAATTGTGTAAGAAATGCAGCTAAAAAGGCCAGAGAGTCAAAGTTCAAAGTTCCGAGAGCCAGTTTCATCAACGCCAAGAAGCTTAATCAGTTATTGACAGTCGCGTTTGTTTAGTAGAATCGACCAATTGCGGTTGACAGCTAATCAGGATTAAATTCGATTGATGAAACTGACCTATAATACGCAAACGAAAACTAGGAAAATGCTATAGTATATTATATGTACATATAATTTTTTTAAGTTTTTCATATACGACAATTTTCGAAAATAGGAATCCTGCTGAACATGACCAATAGGAACCAATATGTCGATATTTCGGCTTACATAAAAAAATTGTTCTATTTTGATACATCTAGAGTTTTAGATCTTTGATCTAGTTTTTATATTTTATCTAACTAATAAATAAGTAATAAATGTGAAAATATTAAAATTTTAGGCGCTTCCCATAAAATGTTTTATTTAACATCAACAAAAATAAAAAAATTGCCAACAAATTACAAATAAGTATAAGCATTATTCTATTATGTTAATGCTTCGTTATTAAATGGTAATTCAGAAAAAGCACTCGCTATATCAGTTTCCTCGTATTTGTTCAATTTTTCTCGTTCTTCCTTAAAGCGGATGGTTTGAAAATCCTGCGGAATAAAAATCTTTGTCTCGGACAAATATTTCTTGTCAGTCTCAAAAAAACGCAACTTGGACCACCGTATCGCTACGTCTTTATACAAGCACTTTCTGAACACCAAGCAGTGAATGTGACGCAGTTTCTCATACTTTATTCTCATGAATCCTATTTTGCTCAGCGTGTACCTCCAAGATTTCATCAATCTCGCATTTGAACCAACGTGTTTCGAGTCTGGACTCACAATAATCAGAATGCCACCACTCTTTAATACGTCATATGCGTTTCTGCAGCAGATGTATCTCTGTTTTGGACATGGGAGATATTCCAACAATAGAGAAAATATCACAGAGTCAAAGAAATTCGTGGGTAATTGATAAATCTCCTGCATGTCTCGTGAAAGAATTTTCTCTTTTCCGATCACAATGTTCAAAAAATCGCATCGATAGACTCCTACCGTAGGAATTAGATCTATCGCAGTTACATCAAACGCATTGTCAATACTTATAGGATTGTAACAACTTCCTACATCTAAAAGTGATATTTTCCGTTCATCAACAAAATTTTGTAAACCGTTTTTTATATGGCTTGGATCTTTCTCGCATGTTGCACTTTCATCGTATGATTTTGCTGAAAAAAAAGTCATTTTAGCATTTATCTCCTGCTCTTTCTTATCATATTTCTCTCTACCACCATTATAAAAGTATTCTTTGCATTGAGTTTTTATCCATTCTATTCTACAGAATGTTCCATTTCTCAAATCTGAATTACTATCCACCCAGCATTTAGTGGCCAATTTGTGCATGGATATAGCATATTTCTGAAATAATATTAAAATAAAATCAAATTATGCAATTAAATATATTCTGATTTATATTACTCTGAATTGACATAATTTAACTTTCAGAGCAATGAAAATTTAAAGCAAACCTGTAGAACGTCATTTCGCGCCAAATGACGTTTCCATGCCATCTCGGCGCCATATTGATGATACTCGGCGCGCAATAGAGCATGAGTTTCCTTCACGATGTCAGCTAGACGTTTATGCTCCTCCGTCGTCATTCGATTAAGAATACTTCCTTTTTCCAGATATTCTGAACAATATTTAGCCAATACTGTAATTCTGTGAAGACTGCAGCTTCACACTATTGCATAAAGAAATATCAGAGTGATGATTGACAATTGCCCGGTTCTATTTCAATCAATTACGATGACCTCGCTACATCGTGATTGGCTGCGTTCAGCAGAATGTTTATTTTGCAATTGTTGGCAGTTTTCTTCGCGCTGATTGGCTTTTAGATCAAGAGGAACAGTCCTATCTCAGCAGACAATCATAAAGCCGGTTCTACATTAATTGCAAGCCGATCGCAAGTTTGTTGCGACAGACAATCTAAAACTTGCATTTTGATATCAACACTTCATACACTTGGCTGTCGCAACAAACTTGCGATCGACTTGCAACTAATGTAGAACCGGCTTAAAATGGTTGCATAACTGTGTGCTCTGCTGAACGCAGCCATTGGAACATGTTGGAGCACGCAACGCGACAACCTTGAACTGACTTGAAAATGCCGAGTGCAAAAAGTGCAAACAACTTGAACAGATCTCTTATATCGATATGACAGGTTTCGTAACCTCAACTAGCAAACTTCTACGATCAATATTTCGATTCACAGAACAGAACGACATTTTTTTCCGTCAAATTCGTTCGTTTCGGATAAAAACGCGTCGAATAAATATAGTTTCATTGATTTTCGAACCGACGTCGCTAAATTGAATAATTACCTTAAATGTGGAATTAATACATCTCTTATCATTTACTTGATGTCTAATATTTAAAAAATGTTGCACGAGATTTTATTGTCACTTTGGGGATGTTCAACCAACGTATCGCAGATGATAGAAATAGATGTGAGTACATATCTTAATCAATGAAGAGTATTATATATTTAAGCCTCTTTCCTGTTCAATGAGTTCACTCACCACTACTATTTCAAGTTATGACGTCAGATGCGAGAGGATTCGCAATAAAAATTTTTGCAAAATATAATAATATGAAAATACGTATAAATGAAACAATACTTGGAATCGATAGAACCTCTTGTAAAATATAAAAACTGTGATAAAAATTTTTTGTTTCATTAATAAATATATCTTAAAATGAATTATACATACACTACGCAAAAAAAATTGAAGGATCACTTAGTCTGTCTTCGAAAAATAGGTTTCAAGAGAAACTTTGTCAAAAATTATTACAACGAGACTTTTGAAAAAGCATTTTAAAGCTCGAAGTCTCTATTTTCAATATCAGTAATTGGTATTTCGATCTGATTGAATTTTTATAAAGTTATAGGGATATAAATGAAAATTTGTAAAATCTAAAAATTTTACACGAACTTCACAAAGTTCCACGGCCTGAACTAAAAAACTGCAAACAAATTCTGTTTACAGCTTTCGAAAGAGCGAATCTTTACCTTTAATCTTTTTGTGTGGTGTATAATCAAAAACAAAATGAGCTATATGTTTACAGACTATGACAAACTATCAAAAATTATATAATTAATATACACAAATATTTAATTTTTCCCAGAAAGGAGATAGTTTTCGGTAAACTACTATATCTCCTAATGAGTCTATTCTATTGGTAGGAAACGTCATTTTATTTAAAAAAAATTTCTGTTTAAATATAATTTGCATTTTATTATATGTTTTCTCACTTCTGATAGTTCTAATGTTACAGTCTAGTGGCAATTGTAACAGTGAGTAAACAAATGTCTTAAATATTATCTTTATGTGCTTCTCGTCAATCTTTCTTCTAGTCCATAGATCTTGATAAGTATTTACATCCTGGAGAACAGGCGCTACTTAATAAAATATTAGATTTTGTGAAGAAGTGTAATGTCATACGAAATTTTATATACAGCAAAAATACAAAAGGTTTGATGAGAAATTTGATGAAACATATTTTATGCAATTGACATAATTGTCTTATGTTCAATTTAATTATTTTGTGTTTTATAGAATCTGTAACTCCTGGTCTTTATATGCGTGCTCTTTTCGATGGAATGGATCAAGCACTAGAGCCATTTCGTAAAGAAATAATTGAATTGGAGAATACAGTCTTAAATGACAATCATACTCCGCTGTCATTAATTCTGTGCAGCATTGAAAAATACACTTGTCTATTTTCCGTATTACATTCTATCATTCGTGAGGTCATTATACATTTCTTCAAGAAAGATATTTTACATTAGTTGGTTTCAGTATAATTCAATTTTTTTCAGATCAATATATTTTCTCCATTGTGTTATAATTGTGTTATAATGTTTGCTATTTCATATAGAATATTTTTTTATTTGTGATGTTTTTCATAACAAAAAAGAAAATTTCTCTAAAGTCTAGATGTAAATGTACCATATAACTCTAAGGAATTACATTTATACATCTAAACTTTAGAGAAATTTTCTTTTTTTATTATGACTTTATATTATCTTGCTTGTTTTAGCAAATAATAAATATATATTGTATATGATTTGAAATGTATGTAATCATATATAAAATAATAATCAAAATGACACAAAGCATTTTTATGATTAAATGTATATTGAATCCAA